ACTATTTTTTACTTTCAACTTCAAGAAACAGTGTGCTTTCATAATTAAAATATCATGAGAAATTTTTTTTTAGAAATTCCTATAATCATAGAAAGAAACGCTGAAATTCGTAATAACATTCAAACGTATAACAATATATATATGTTCTTTTCCTTTCTTAAACACCCAGAAAATTTTTCGTGTATGTGTGTTTGCGTGCATGCATAAATTTTACAAATACTTAATTCTTTAGAGCTCTTTTTTCTATTACTTCTTTCTGAAATAATACTGTTTGAGGAAATTTTAAATCTTGTTTTTATTTCAAATTTCACCAAATTCAGCAGTGGTTGGGACAGTAAATATTCCGGAAAATTTCATGCGCAAAAAATGGTTATTAATTAATATACAATACATGTTTCATGCTTAGCATATTTTTTTTTTTTTTTAAACTAAGATTTATATTTTAATTACCTACCAATGAAGAATATCGCACTTTTATTGTAGTTAATGTAAGGAAAAACTCAAGTTCTTATAAGAATCGTGTTAATGGATTTCAAAATCATGCAAGTCTAAATCGCAATATATTACAAAAAATAAAAAAACGGAAATCATGATATCGAATTTTTAATTTGTGTGAATTGTGATTTTTCAGGGTGTTTATTATTCAATTTTAGTTATTTATTAAAATATATTCAACAAAAACACTAACAAGATTAATATTGATCATACTAAATTTATAAAGATATGTAAAAAATTAACAAACTAAGAAAACCTTAATAAATTCATTAAAATTCAGTATTTCTTAAATAAAATGATTAAAAAAATTCATTAATATTAAAATATAAATACAATGAGTACTGAAGCTAAACATTTTTGCGAGAAGTAATTTATTAAATGGACCTCACATTCATAATACAGTAGGGAACCGATTATCCGGAACGATTGGGACCATCGCCATTCCGGATAACTGATTTTTCCGGTTTTCGGAATGGCTACAAAAAGCCGTTTTTTAATTGCTAAACCCAACTAAAAAACATTTTTTGGAAATAATCTTAAAAAGAAGAAAAAATGATTAAGTAATACCCTAATGATTATTTCCAAAATGATGGTAAGGTGAACATCTTTCAAAAAAGAAAGAAAAATCCTAAAATCTTATGAGGAAAAAAAAAATTTTTTTTTTTTAAATGGCGGGAAAATGTATTGAATTTTGTTCCGGTTTTTTGGTTTTCCGATTTCCGGATAACGGGTTCTGTACTGTATTAAACAAATCTGAGATAATTGAATTTTTTATTTCAATTGTTTTTACGTAAATTTAATTAAACTATTCCTTTTTCTTCTTCCCCAAATTAAACTGTTTTTTTTCCCAATCGTTTCAATAGTTAAGAGATGAATCAAAAATTTTTTGGAATGGTAAATCTAAACAACAAGATTTTTTACTGCATGTGCTAAATGTTAAAATAGTGAAAAGCCGCTCACTTCATACCTTTTATATTGTTGAGTATTATAATCAGATTAAATATTATTGAGTTAAAGTACTATGCAAATAAGGGCGTCTTTGGTAAAAGTCACAAGATTAAAAATATCAATTAATTCTTATATTTATTTAATTAATTAAACGAATAAAAGGACAGAAGAGAATATGTAAGCAGTGAATGATTCCAAAGTCATGTTCAAGAATTGTGGTACAGATCCATAAATAGAACAACATGAGAACACCACATCATTAGCTTGTGAGTGAAGACAATGGCACTTTCACCAGCGATGAAATTAATAAGAGAAATAATATTTTCTTTTGGAATTTGGAAAAAAATTTAGGAATGTTTCACTTGTCCTCATGATCAGAAAACTTAGAAAGATTTTTGGGTTTGATTTCAGAGGGCGGAAAACTCTTATAAAATGCAGCAGAGTTGCACAAGAGAGTGCCAGATTCCTTCCCACCGAATCTATTTCAGTGCATGCGCATGGGGACCTGCAAAATTTTAAGATAATTTTTTTTAAGCATATAAAATAACTGGCGCTTTCATAAGCAACCAGGGGTGATTGTGAGCCCAAGTCAAAATTCCGGAAAATTCATTGAGTTAAAAAGTTAAAAAAAAAAAAAACAAATAAAAAAGAGAAAAAAAAGAACTGTTTAATTGAAAAATTAGAAAAAAATTTAAACAAGGTCTTTTTTCCTTTTTCTCAATATTTCTTAGTTCACTTAAAAATATTTAAAATTTTACACATACCTATACCATTTACACATACCCGGAGAAGTAATTAAAACTTACAAATATGTCTTTCTTTCTTGAGTTTATGATTATAACAACTATTTACTGATAAAAAATTAAAATTAATCATGAATATGAGCTTATAAAGTATCTCTCTGGCTCTCCCTTACAAACAAATAAAATAAACTGTGTTTTTAAGTTCCACCTTTGAAAATTTGATTTCCGGAAACTTCTGTGATAATGATTTTTTGAAACGTCTGGACCTTCGATCTCCGGAAACTTCCGGATCACTGTTAGCGAAAATTCAGGAAATCCGGATTTTTTCCGGAGCACAATCAGCCCTGTAAGCAACTGACCGCCTGTACACATGGTCTGGCTGAATGAATTGTAACACTGTTGAATTGAATAATGTGCGCTTTTTTCGTAATTCGTGGCAAAAATCGACCTGAGAAAAAAAAATTACTTTGGAAAAAGGAAAATTAAGCCCATTTTTTAAAAAATCCCACAAAAAGTCACCTTTAAGGGCTTTTAAAAAATTAAATTAAAAAATAAGCATCTTTTAAAAAATGCTGTGCACCCTGTTTTTGGATTGCATGAATATGAATCTTAATGCGTAGCTTAGAAATAATGAATAAATACGAAACATTTATGTTCAATATTGCAAAGGACAAAATACAAATAACAATATTGGATTTTAAAAAAAAAAATATGAATTGCAATGCATAACTATTAAATTAGGAATAAATACTAAAATCAATGCTCAATTTAAAAAACAAGTAAATACGAATTGTAATATTGGATTTCAAAATCTAATGAAAATGGAATGGGCTTTTGGATTTTTAAACTCGCGTGAATATGATTTACAACATGCAACTTTTAAATTAGGTTATTGGGTAAATCAACATGAATTGTTTAATCATTAAAATAGTACTATTATGAATCATTATGTAAACTGTTTTCGGTGCAGTTCCAAATAATTAAAATGGCAAGGGAACCACATGTATATAAACGTCTTGTCATAAGATTTAGCGAGTTTTAAAATTTAAATTTAAGATAGTGGAACTCTGTGAAAATATGGTTTTGATTCACAGAACTCAGCAAACCAATGGTCTTAAAAATGGAATTATGTGAGATTCATTAGAAAAATCACATGACCTACTCCTAGCTTTTAGACCCAGAAGAAAATAGACCTGGAATTTTGGGGTACACCTGAAATACGATCATCCCTGAAAATTGGTAACTGTTATTAGCTTTGAACCAATTCAATACATAAGAATCTAAAAACAATTAAAGAAATAAAATGCAAGTATAATTTATATTTTTATTAAAATAAATTTAAATTACTTTTTTAGTTCAATGTCATTTATATTCATTATTATAGAATTGCACAGACCTTCCAGATTCTCTCTTCTTCAGCTTTCGATGATTTAGCTGCACTCTTTTAGCATGTTAAACACTTTTTGAGAGTTTAAACCAGTTATTAATGCTTGCTTTTGAAAACTAATTTTCAATTTAAAAAGCTAAAATCCAAGAACAGAACCTCACACAATTATAGAAATTGACTTTCACTCTAATATTTTTAAATTTAGGTATATTGTAGTTTATTCAATATTGATCATAAAATTTCATTGGCATAAAACTAAAAAATTTTGTTGAATTTTTGAAACTTTTTTAGGGGATAAAGCCATTTTTAAGTGCAACAAGCAAATATTCTTCTCAAACAATTCAAAACAAGTCCAGATAAATGGTTTAAAAATGGGAAAATTAAGATACATTATCTTGTTAGGAAAGTTTTCTAAGATATGATTTATATTCCTATTAGTTATATCCAGATAAACTCAAGTAGAAAGAACTCTCCGAGCTACATGCAAACGAGTTTTAAAAACGGCTTCACCTCGAAAACTACCAACATTTTAAAACCCCACAAGATGTGACTGACAGATTTCCTTCAATTTTTAGAAGGTCTTTTGTTAAGAAGTTTTAACGCATTTATTAAGAAAATAATCTGATAATAGTTTTTGCCGTTTTTTTTACCTTCAATTTTTTTTCTCAAAACATTTAACATTCAAAAAGAAAAACTATTTCGCAATCATGGTCTTTATTATCGTTTTAAATGAGAAAATAAAATTAGTAGAAGGTCATCTTAATTTATGTAATTTAATAGGAAAAATTTATATCCACACACAACTTCCGAAAACATAATGAAATATTTAGCTTTTAAATACTCAACATTAGAAATTTGATTTCCACCAAATCGCCAGATGAAAGATACAAACTTTTTATTGTTGCTGATAACAAATGGGGGAACCATACACATGCAAGAAATATAAATAATTTTTTACTATATCTTAAAAATTAATCTTCTTTGCTTCAGTAGATTCTGGATGTCATTCTTTCCTTGAAGAATTTACCGAAACCATTAAAAAATTTAGATTAAGAGAAAATAGTAATACTACAAACAAAGCAACAGGTTTTTATATAGTTATGGCACAGAAATGGGTAAGAAACAGCCAAAAGATTTCATATAATAAGCTTATAAAGTTTTGTTTTGATTATACATGCATAAATAATAAATAATTCTACAGTGGGGTATGAAAAATGAGAGTTACACAACAAATAGAAAAAAATATACAAGAAGTATAAATAAAGCATTCAATTAAGATAATATAAGTACAGATTCTAAATAGGATATTTAAAGCAGATGTGCATTAACTTTAAAAATATCAAGGGTATTTGTTTTTTAAAAAAAAAAGTAAGTAGGAAAAAAATTTAAACAAAAACCAAATTATAAGAGTGCTTCATAAAACATACCAAAAAGGGTAAAGAGAGCATCAGGTGTGACCTTCTAGTATTTTCAGAGCAACAGGATGGTGAGGCAGAGCAGAAGGTTGAAAGGGTTTTTCAGTGACCGAGCGAACGAATAAAGAAGTCCATTAGATATATATTTCGTTTTGGAAAAATACCAAGGCGAGGAAAAGAAAGAAAAATGAAAAAAAAACTAAGATACATAAATTTAATAAGTGAAAAAAAAAAAAAAAACAATATGCATAGTAAAAAGAAAAAAAAGTCAATGCTAGATGTAGCAAAAAGTATCTTAGTGCGTTTAGCTAAAGGGGACCCGGAAATTAATAATAGTAAAAAAGAAAAAGAAATTGATTCAATACTTAAGTGCCTCATATGCATAATTTTTGATAAATTACATATGTATTAGCATATTTCATTTCACTTTCTATCTTTTCTCAAAAATTAACAGAGCTACAAGAAATACAAATTTCATATCACTTTCATATCATTTAGGTTCACTCTAATAGTAAGTTAACCATAAAATATTACAATGAAATCAAGTGTATTTTAAGTCACAAATAAAAATAGATTAAAAAAACTATAAGCTTCTTATTATCTATGGAATTTCAAAAGTTTTAGTAAAAATTGAGAAATTTTATACATTTTTGGGGACAATAAAGAGATAAAATCCAAAGTCTTGAAAAAAATTATGGAGAGCTATAAAATTTTTTATTGATTTTTTATTATTATTAATTTTTTTTATTTTTTTATTTAGGGAAAAATAGGGCGTTTTGAAATAGCAGAAAAATAAATAATAATTAACTTATATTAAAACAAACATATATCTAATATAACTGCTTGGAGCTCAGTTCATTTTTGACTAAAGATATGTAGAAAAAGTGCAAAGAAAGTATAATATATTCCAGGTCTCCTTAGAATAAAACATTTAAAACAAGAAATATATATTTTAGAATAAAAAAAAAAAAAAAGTAAACCAAAAAATTTATGCAAATCAAAATTTAAAATTGGAGACGCAAATTTTGATAAGAATGTATGTCTTTAAATTTAAAATCTTGAACTAAAAATTTGTGTTCTGAAATACATTTTGCTACACCTTTGTAAAATAAATAAGGTTAACATTAATTGGAAGTAATGCTAGAAGGATAACACATCAAACAAGCTGAAATAAATGAAGTTCGTTCAAAGGCACAGCACAGAATAAGTTATTGCAAGTTCACATACAGGTTTAGAATAATAGAAAGCAGCTTAAAAGAAAAATTAACACCCAAAACTCTCAACAATCATTAACATTAAAACCTTTTTCTTTATAAATTGTCACCTAAAAAAAAGATCCTAAATATCTGATTTTGACCTTAAATGCATAAAAATGTGAATGACACTTGAAATATTTTTGGAAAACAAAACACTTACAATATTTAGTTACTGCAGACATTTTTAGCATTTAAAATGACTTACAAATTACAGCAAACTCTTTTAAAAGGCAGAATCTGTGAGGAACAGCATATTTCTCTAAAAATTTTTTGATTTGCACAAACACAATAGCACTAGTTAAAAAGTATAAGTCTGTAAAAAAATACAAATCCTATTACAAAAAAAAACTTAATTTTTGTCATGACTAAAAATGCCATACATCTCAAAGTATAAGCGGATCCCCCTTTTTTTATTTGAATGACTTGATTACGAAATAGCATAATTCACGACGTTGCTTGTATAAGTCGACAGATTTTTTCTATAAAATGTCAAGTATCAAATGATACTAGACCCATGTTAGAATGCAGATTCAAATGTTATTGTAAAATATTTTAAAAAGGGTAGGAATATTGAATTCTTTGGATGGGGTGGAAGAATTTTTTATTTATTTAATTAATTTTTTTGTGGGGCGCAGATGAGGATGTAGTAGAATGCATTACAGAGTGGGATCTGTATGACAACACTATTAACTAAAGGTATCCGACACAGAAGATCTGGGATCGTTAAATTTCTAACATTATGGTTTGTTTTAAAAATTTCCATGCATTATATTTTTTGAAATACTCTTGATATAAATTATTTTACTCTTTATACTCTTTTAAAATTCTCTATTTAAATTTTTTATCCAATACTGCAATGCATAAGAAAAATCAACATAGACGATAAATAATTCAAAATAGCACATTTTTAATAAATTTAGCATTTTTGTATAATCTACACACACACAATAATTATGCAATAAAAATTTTTTCCAAAATAAATTTTGTTTTGTCAGCTTTTTTCAAAAACTCTACATTAAACATTAACAATAGGATTATTAGCATAACAAATGGAAAAAAATAGGACAATTTTATTTGCAGTCTCCTTTAACTGGGGGAAACTTCTAACGAATTTAACAGTTTCCTAATTTTGCTTTTTTTTTTGGAATTTCAAATAATACTTTTCTGTTTTTACTTAAGGTAGTATTACACACTTTTGATAGAATTCCACTTTTATAAGACTTTGCTGTAATTCTCAAATACATCTACAAATAAATCAGTGGGATTTGCTATAATTTCTTATATGCTTAAAAATTACATATTAGTCAAGTAAAAATAACAGCATTTCTATTTAACTGCCAATTTTTGTTCAATCACAAAATTTTTTTTTAAAAAATTTAATAAGATGTACGAAGTTCTAATTAGTGCAACTGGAAAAATCTGTCTTAATTTAACGAATTCCGTATCTTCATTTTTAAAAATTTACATTACCAAGAGATTTGATACAGAAACATTTCAGTTTTAAATAATAAAAAACAAGTAAAATTACAAAATATGCTAAAAAATATTTTCAACAGAGTGTTTGCTTATATGCAATTATATTTCGCAGTAACTATGATCTCTCAGTGTATAAAATTGTAAAGAAAATTTTCAGTTTAAAATTTGAAATTAATAACATGTATAACTTCAGAAAAAGTGTTTAAATTAACAAAGCTTAGTAATAGAAAGGAAAAAAAAGTATATAACAATTTGAATAGAGCTCTTAAATTTAATACTTTTAATGCTCAAAATAACATCATTTTGGCAGTAAGCAATTCCATCTCTTTAACTTAAATATCCAATATCAAGTCATTGCAATTTAAAATAATAATAAATAATGATAGTAACAGAAAATAAAACTAATACTGTAATTTATAATTCCGTAATTTTAATTAATTGTAAAGTGGCACATTTGCTAGGATCAGAAATCTTTATTAAGTTATTTTCTCAGTAAAGAATGCAAACAAAATAAAGCTAAAATCATTTTTAATGTCTTACCTCTTCATTGAGATTACTAACTAGCAATACGGTGCTACCCAAATGTTGTCCGGGTAGCCTCAACCCCGCAACTCCTAAAGCAGCTGCTGTTGTTGCAGCAGAAGAGAGGGCAAAACCCCCTAAAGGTAGGCCTAAATAAAAGAAAGAAATATTAATGACAAAAAAGGGGAAAACAAACTAAAGAGAAACTCCTTAAGGGGAAATTAAAAAAAAAACAACCCCAGATTATCTTAAAAAAAGGAAAATGACAAATCAAAAGCAAACATCATTTGTACTAAAGTATCATACTGGCAGATTTCATTGTAAAAGATTAATAAAGACTATTTTAATTTCAAAATTACTTTATTTAAAACCAAGTTTTAGCAGTTTCCAATACAATTTTACCCATAGAACACTGAACAACTCAGAATAGTTTTGAGTTCAATATGCATAGAAACTTTTTTATAACACTGCTGGATAAAAAAATAATAGGTATGAATTAGTTAATAAATTCTTTATACCATAATTTATTTAAATTGGTAATAGAGATCAATTCTTTCTAAATCAAATAATTTTTAAATAGGGTTTCAATGATCTCAAAAAAGAAAACAGTAAATATGCCACTTCGTAAAAGAGTAATTTATTGGAAGATCTGTCAACTTACCATTTAAAAAAGTTTGTGCAACATGTTTTTTTTTTTTTAATTTTTTGGGAGAGCGGAGAAAGGCAGAAATGAGTACAATCCGACTTACCATTGTTCTGATAGTCAGAATCTTACTGTATAATTTTAAATACTGTTCAGGAGCCAATGTGTCTTACTTTATTTTAGAATATTGAGACATCCCTCAAGAATTATGAAAATTTACGAGCATTAGCTGGAGTTTAAACTGTGTACACCTAACCAAGAGCCATAAATAAAAAGTTTAAATTGCAAAAATAATCAAAGATCCTCTCTAAGTACATTTACTGCAATCTGTGCAATTTAGCAATAAAAAAATTTGTGTTATAAAGTAAGTTTACGGCATACTGTGTAATTTGGCAAAATAAGTTAATGATATAGAGTTAAATGAGAGTAAATTAAGATATTTGTCCAAAAAAGTCATTTTTTCCACAAAATTTTTTTTTACTTAAATGGGTTTTTTAAAATTAAAGAATTACAATAAAAAAAATTTTCTTTTTTACTAAGTTTTCGCAAAAACGATTAGTTTTTTTAAAAAAATATGCATAAGCTGGAGAAAAAAAACTACACTGTTTACAAGTTATATATGGCTCCTGTTTTAGCTAGCAAAATTCACTTGCTTTTTTTGCCAACATTTTTGACACCTGGTAAGAAAGAAGCAAAAAATAAATATTTTAATGTGAAATGCTTGTTTTTTACTCGTAAAACTGAAAATAAGACATTGCAAGTTTTTAACAATAGGAGTCCCAAAATTCAATGTCAAGACTTGGTGCAAAAAATGTTGATAAGAGAATAACAGACTGAACGGCAGCTCAGGGTAAGTAACCTTTGCATGGTGAAATTGGTACTATGAAGAGTCCCATTTCTAATTTAATATTCATATTTCCTATAAGTGTTTGTACTACATTATTATTAGAAATATTATAATGAAAAAATATTTCAATATCAAGAGCTTTTTAATAAAAGGAAGAACAAAATCCCATTTTGCTTAAAAATATTTTAATATTGCTATTTGTCTTGGACAGTAAAGTAGGGTACACAATTTATTCTTACATGAATTTTGGGACATCCTGTAGAAAGTGATACAGAATGTTTTAAATGGTTACAAAAATATAAAAAACTATAACAGTTTATGAACATTATTAGCTAATTATTACCTCCAGCACCAGCAGCATATGCAGCTGTTAAAGGTGATCCTAATCCAGGTGCAAATGGAGAAGCCAAAACACCCATTGAACCTTTAGCAAAAAATTAAAGCAATGCAGAAAGTTATCAAGCGTTAAAAGTTTTTCAGAAAGTTAACATTGTAAAAGGTAATTAGAAGTAACATATAAAATAAATGCATTATATTTTTATACAATATTAGGAGGAAAAATATAGTCATGAAACTCATAGAAATGTCAATTTATTATGCAGGATTTTTTTAAAAGAAAATTTTAGATTTTATTGAAATATTTTCATATTTAAAGTTATGAGCTCAGAAAACAGTTGCTAAATTATGAATGATACCTATTGCAAGGAACTTACTAAGCTTCAAAATATAAAAAGGAAAATATTCTATTTTATGAAATCAAAGGCGCAAAAAGTTTCGAAATCAGTAGAGATATATGTTTAAAAATCTCAAGAAAAAAGGCTCATTATTCAAAGTTAATTATGAAAGATGATATAACATAAATTAACATTTATATTTATAATTTAAATAATAAGGGTAAAATTTAAGTTCATTCAGATTTGAAATAAATTTTTAATGTATTTAATAAACATTGCGAAAAAGGAAAATAAAATATTAATCTTCTTATCTGTGAGGTTAGTATTATAAGAATAGAAAATTATAATTTACATTGCAATAAATAGTAACAATATGATTTCTGGAACAAACACTAAATAATAATAACAAATAATGTAATAAATGCTTGATTAGAAAGTTAATGTAATCGAAATGAAATAACCTGAAAACATCAATCTAATTTTTCAAACTGACTAAGCACTTTAGAAAACAAAAAGTTAACAGTTTGAAATTCTAATTGAATCAAAATTTTTCCTCTGTTTGAATCCTATTAATCCCATTATTCAAAACAGTGTTAGAACTATCAATCTAGAATTTACATCTTCATACAATATTTAAAGTGATAGAGAAATCACAATTAGGTAATCAGATATTTAAAAACTTTAAAAGAACTTACGAACATAAATTGAACGTCGATTTTAAAAAACAATAAGCAAAATCAGTTTTCCTATGCTGTTAGATAGATAAATATTTTATATAAGAAGAAAAAATATCTGTAGTTATAATAGAAATTTACAAACGTTAAAAAATAAACATACCAGGCAATCCTAAGGAATCAAAAGGAGAACTGGGGTCGCAATTAGGAAGCATAGGATTAGTAAAATCTCTACTTTTGTCATTGTTGTACTTAACATTTAGATTAGACAACTTGGAATATTCAACTCTCAGAGTACAACATGCATTATAAATGTTTTGGTTGTCCAAAGACTGAAATTAAAAAGATGCCATTAACACACTATACTGAATACTGAGAACTCATATTACAAAAATAAAATGTATCACAAACCAATTTGGCAGCTTGGGCAGTTATGACATCAGGATACTGAATCAATGCTTGGAATGTGCCTAAAAAAAAAAATCATGACTTCATTAAAAACATCAACCAAACTTAACCCTGTCTGTTTGCCACATTAATCAACATTCATAATGTAATTCCAAATTGCTACACAGTAAATAATAAATACTAGGAGGCTCCGCCCCCTGCTCGCTAACGCTCGCCAACCCCCGAGGATTGCTACGCAATCCTATGTGGTTCATGCCGTGAACCATGGCTCGCTCGCCAATGAATACAATGTTCTAGCACAAAGACATAATATATTATCATCAAAGACGTAGTATTTTATCATCAAAGACATAGTATTGTACTTATGTAGAAGAATTCTACCAATGTTCTTATTGGCTTTTAAAAAAGTATATTAGCTATTTAGATTGTACATGGTGAAAAAATCAAAACATTAGCTAAATAAGAAACATATTAGCAAAATAAATTATCAAATATTGTTTTACTAATATTCTGCATTTTAAAGCGTGAAAATTCAATGCATAAATAAAAGCGAAATATAAAAAAATTCAATGCATTCAATACAAACACTTAAACGTTTTTTAGACGTTTAGGTAGCTCCCAGTAGAAAAATATCAATTCAACAGCGGCCTTTTAAAGCATTCTCACTTCAATTAATTAATTAATTCCTAATTGAGTTTAAATTAAATATTGTCATGTTTTTAGTGCATGAATCTGAATTGAACAACCTGATAATGCTCACTCTGGTTATTGTTATCTGGTTGCTCACTACGTGCTCTTGCGCGCCGAATCCAATCAATTAAAAATGAAAACTGTTGCCAGCGTGAGAAAAGAAATATCATCGGTTTTATTGATACATACATACGTACGTATTAGCGTTTTATATAATATAGATTATTACTGTGCAGTGACTAAAAACTTAATTCATAATATAATTTTCACTCTTTAACATCAGTTGCTACAAGCACCATTTCGCTAAACATTGTTAAAAAGAAGAAAAAAATGGTTATATATCACTATAATATTTTTTATTTAATTACCATTTTTAGTGAATGTCACTATCTTTAACACTCTGCCAACTCTAGAGAAAATCTGAAAAGAAAAAATTGAAATTAAAAATTAAATGAACAAAAAATGAAATAAAAAATTGGAATTCAAAAATAGGTGAATAATAATTTTAGGGGGAAAAAAATTCAAAATGCGAATAATATGGAGTTTCATGGTGACTGACATATTTTAAAAGGTTATATTTTTAAAATTTCTTTTTCATTATTAAATATTTAATAATTTTATCAAAAAAATATATGGGATGATTTTTAATAAACTTAATATTATTATGCACATAAGAAATTGAAAACTATAAATGTTTTACTTAGAATAAAAATATAAAATGTGACTGACATTACATAGAAAGAATATGGCGTAAAACACCAATTTTATTTTGAAATTCTCTTTATATAAGCAATAATGGGATTAATTTTTTAAAATTTATTTATAAGATGTCAAATTAATATTAAAAGTACACAAATAGAAACTGGCGAACAGAGGAAAAGCTAGTGTATTTTATGCTACAATTTCTATGCGATTAACGTTAAAAATACAAAATAATTTAAAATCTTAACAATTGAATCTTTTTCTAAATGAAAGTGTAAAAAGTGTTTTTATAATGAATATGGAATAGTAAATAAGGTATGTAGAGAGCATTTTTCTGAATTCTTACATCGATAACGACGATTTTTGATCATTTGAATTTTTTCTCCTCTCCCTTCAAGTTCGAGGTTTGACTGTATTTCAATTCAAATTATAAAATTTAGCTCAACGTAAATGCTATTTTCTTAAAAGCACCCTAAAAATATAAAATTTAATTAGAAAAAAATCTGATTTATAAATTAAATCAATCAAGTTTTTTGATTAAAAAAAATTTAATATTCAAACCCTGAAGATTAGTTTGAATCAGTTGTTATAAGGTAAAAAAGCAGCATCGATATTAGCTAACAATGAGACATTTTCCCTGCATTTTATGATTGATAACTAGAAAAACATTAGAAACTCATTCTGTTCAGTGATTGATTGAGTTTAAAGTTCTAAAGGATATCCCACAATTGAAAGAATTTGGCACATTGAATCTGCACTTTAAAGCACTGATCCCCCCCCCTCGCAAACGCAAACAGAATTCAGATAAAATAGGAAAACTTGCAAAAGTTTCCAAAAAAGCAAATCCTTTTTTGGCTGCCTTTTCTAAAAGCTTTTAGAAAAATATATGCTGAGGTTTTTAAAACAATTACTAAATGTATTAGATACAAGGAAAACAGATAATACCTGGTATAATATTTCCAAAGAAACTGGATATATCTGATTTTCAACTACTACCCTGAGAACTGTATTTGGTCCACCCTGAGTATCAGTGGTATGATTCACTAGAGCTTGAGCAGCTTGCAGTGCCACCTGTGTTGTGGTATTCTAAAATATAAAATGAATTTTAACACTTCGAATACAAAAAATTTAAAACGCATAATATAAGTTAATAAAAATGACTTACACTTAAAGTGTGAGTGTTATCTGTCTTCAATTCTTTGTGATTAGAAAATTGAACATAAACATTTCTCCCTTTAACGAAAGGGGCACCTGAATTTGCATAGTAGTTCACCATTGATGTTGCAGATGCTTCATCATTCATTTCAAGGAAGGCCTATAAAGAATATAATAATTGTAAGGCAGCATTTAATTAACATATCCGTCACCAGCATCTAATTACGTACTCTTAATTCTTCATTTGAAATTATTAGCAATTTAGAACATTTGTTTTTTTGTTGGAGGTGAGCTTAATGCTTATGCAAGAAATAAATAAAAGAATTAAAATAGAGTTACGAGCACGGAGTGAATAAAAAATACAAACTATCAATTGCAAAGATGGGTAAGATAATTTTAATAAATGAACATAACTATATGTTAGATAACTAATAAATGAACTTTATGAAAATGAGCATTTTCAATATTGTTACTTTTTATGAAATTCGAAACACGATGACTTAAACAATATGTAATAACACACAGTTCGACATGAAATTCATTGCTGAATTATGATATTCTGCGAAGAAATGATCAAATCCATATCACTCTCTAATATCTATTTCCCTGCATCATCTCAAAAGTAACTACAAGATCAGGTCTCATCCTCAAATTGATACAATACACAGATTAATACGAGTCTGCAGATAAATACAAACTGATACAGAGTCTTCTGATGAATAAAAGTTGATAATGAGTACATAGAAAAGTCCAAGAAACAAGCAATTCCTTTGTGAGTTGGTACATTTTTAACATAGAGTGGTACTGTTAGTGAAATTGACATTTGAATTAGCTTTTTCTGAATGAATATTGAGTATATAATCGAATACAGAGTTCAAAGATTAAAATAGTGCTGCCATCTAGATGATAATTTACAAAATTGATCATTTAGTTATCATTTGCTTTGGTTTTACTTGTTAAGATGGTGTAAATATTATTTTCATCATGTATTAATTTCAAGTACTAAGAGCTTTAAAATACTAAGCACAAAGTATCAGATATTTTGATAAAGACCCATCAATTAGTACATACCTTAATTAGTACATAAAATATTATAGAGAAGATGAAGGCACTTTTGTTTGTGCAAATGTTTATTAAGCATACAAAACAAAGAGCTATATTTAGTAACTCAAATAACAACATTTTAAGTTTTCTTTTCCACTAAAAATTTATATCAACAGCAAACAACTCCCACACAATAATCTACATTTATATTAAGAAATTAACACCTTTCCAGGCTTAGCACTAATATAAAAAAAGAACATTATACTAAAAAATTAAGAACGAGCATCAGCTGTATTATTACAAATGCAAAAAGCAAAATTACAATAGTAAATTGATTATAAAAATTAAATATTTGTCGTAATTTTTAATAACTAACAACAAAAAAATTCAATTTTTTTTTACCCTTTCAAAAAGTTTAAAGTGGGAAAAATATCACTCTTAGAAGGGAAAAAAAAAGGAGAAAAAACTGCTAAATCATTCATAAAAAGATATTGTGAATCCGAATGCACAGGTTATTGAAAAACCTGTAGCTTGATTGAAAGAAGTATTCTACTTCAAGATCAGTAATTATTGAATAATTATTCTAATACTTCAAGACCAGTAATAGAATAATTATCAGTTAAGAAAAAAGGACACTACTGGTTTATTTTAATAAAGGCTCACACATTAATTCTTCATTTTCATCATTCATAGATCCCTAAAGATAAGGACTGTTGAATTACAGAGCTTTTAGGCACAGATAGACAGAAACTTTATGTAATTAATAATTCAAGATTGTTAATCATTAAATGATTAACAATCTATATTATATTGCTTACAAAAATTATATTGCTATATCACAGCAATTTTTTGTGACTAAGAAAGAAAAATTTCTTACCCCCCCACACAAAAAAAAAAAACAAGCCACCAGCGTTCATCGACGCAAGCGTCACCCTCATAATTGAAGGCGGCTCAAGGCCTTGTGCTGATACAGTGTTGCCAGAACTTAAGATTAAAAAGTAGCGAATGGGAGCTCCAAAAGTAGCGGATTCGAACATTTTGTAGCCCAAAAATAAATCATATATATATATATATACACATATATATATATATATATATATATATATGTGTATATATAT